CCTTAACAGATGTACATCAGTACTTGGGCATGTATCAGAGACCCACATATTCCAAAGTAGCAACGGACATAAAATATGCTTAGAGAAATATATATCATCCCTCTGCATTTCCATCTCTCATTAGAGTATTGGATTCAATAAAAATAGTATTTTGAAATCCACCATATATTTTTTAAAAGATTAATCTAAGTAAATAATACCTAATACGGCATGAATGCAAAGTCAATTGCATTGGCTATATGTACAAAAAAACTTACAGCTTGGAGGAAGAACCAGCATGCTTCTTGCCCATCTCTGCCAATAGACAGGAGGGTTACCAGCTATCCCAGCTGGTGCAAAGCAGCCCATTTTTTTTTCAATATTGGAGATTGAACCCAAAGTCTTCACACTGAGTTATATCACCAGCCCTTAAAAGATTAATAAATAAAATGATACAAATCCCATCCCCAGATGGAGCAGACACTGAGTGTGCACAGACAGCACTCAGAGGGAGCAGCCCAGTCTGGAGGTGTGCAGGTGAGAGGGCCAGAGGGTACTCATTGCTCTCCCAACTGCTCTTTCCCCACGCGGCACCTTATTAAGATGCGACACCCAATCTTTCAACTGAAATGAAGGGGGACAAGAAAGGAAATGAAAACATAACAGTCATCAGAGCTAAAAACAAAAGAAAAGGGGATCATAAAAATCCATGATTCAAAGTTTCGAACAATCGATCATATATACGATGTGTGAAATTTTGTTGGAATAAGTGTCTGTATAGACAGGTGTGGTGGTGCATGCCTGTAACTGCCATGAGTTCAAGGCCAGCCTGGGCTACTAAGTGAGTTCAGTGAAATCCTGCCTTGATAAGTAAATAAACAAATGAATAAATGAATAAATGTCTATGGAGTTAATGATCTATACATATACACAAACAACCCCCCCTTTTTATGTATTTGGTACATGATCTCACTTATGCACCTCAGACTTGTAATAGCCTCCTGTATTCAGCCTCCCCAGAGCTGAGACTACAGGTGTGCACCACCACACCCAGTCTCATTGGCTGGCTCGGTGTGCCAGGGATGGGGCCAACATGGCACGTGGTGCTGGGGATCAAAACTGGGTCCCTGAGCTTCTTAAGCAGGTGCTTAGTCTGCTGAGTTATCTTGCCACTGAACTCCACCCCTTTGTTTCATTTAAAGAGGTATCAGATAGCTCAAGGGATTAAAGTGCCTGTTTAGGCAGATACAGGGGCCTGGGGTTCAATCCCCAGCCTGCCTTGCCAGCCCTGCCCCAGGGGCTCACTGAGATGTTGAGACTGGGTGTGGTAGTGAGCGCCTGTAATCCCAGCACTTGGGAGGCTGAAAAACAGGAAGTTTGTTGCATGACACTGCAAAGTAATGAGACCCTGTAGACCCTGTACTAATTACATTAAAAAAAAAAAAAGAAGACGAAGAAGTATCACAGTGGGGAGATAGCTCAGAGGCATAAGCACTTGCCTAACAAGCACAAGGTCCTGAATTCAACCCCTGGTACTGAAAAAAAAAAAAAAAAAAAAAAGGGGGAGAGAGGTGTCAGTACTAATATTATTCAAAACTGTTGGACATTGGGTGCATGCATATAATCCCAGCACTCAGCAGACTCAGGCACAAGGATCACCAGGAGTTTGAGGACAACCTGAGCTATACAGTGAGTTTAAGACCAGCTGGAAATGTGTAGTGAAACCCTGTCTCAAGTCCCCCTCCTGTCCCTCTCTTAGACAGGCATTTCTTTCTCTCAATAAATATATTCTGCTCATAACCTCCATTTGTTCCTAAAATTCATTCAGTTTTAGAGAACACAAACTTGTCCCAGTCAGGTTGGGAGATCATTTTTCCCTATGACATTTGGAGGTTCCCTATATCATTTGGAGGTCACCCACTGGAGATCAGTTTTTCTCCCTGTATCAATTCCAGGTTTAAAAAAAAAAAACCCTGCTTCCTGGGCTAGCTGCCTTTCGGTTCTCTCCTCTGTGAGAACTGATCAAGGGCCCTGAGCTCAGTAATAAACGGCTTTCCAAATTCCAGTCTCGCTGATCTGGTTCCTATTCTGAGTGACCCATAACATTCTCCATCACCTTAGACCTGCCTTACCGCATGGCTTTCCTCTATAAAAGTCCCTGGAAAAGACAGCTTCCCGGGGACAACCCGCTCAGGGCCCACCTTCTGTCCTTCTCTTGAACAGGAGCTTTCTTTCCCTCAATAAATCTATTCTGCTGGAAAAAAAAAAAATGAAAAAAAAAAATTTAGAAAGTAAAGACGGCTCAGTGGTAATGCACCCCTGAGTTCAATATCCAGTGCCTGTTCCCCTGAAAAAGCACCCTGTTCCACAGTGTGGGGAAGACATGCATTGCCCTAAGAACCCAGATTTTATTATTTTGGGGATTTTTTTTTGTTTCATTTTGTTTGTTTGCTTTTGGTTTTTGTCTTTTTGCAATGGGGTCTCCATATACAGTTCAGACTGATCTTGAGCTCACGTTGTAGCCCAGGCTAACCTCCAACTCACAACAATCTTCCTGCCTCTATCTCCCAAGTGCTGGGGTCACAGGCATATGCACCATCATGCCTGGCCATATTCATCGAGAGCTCAAAACTCCCTTTGGTCCTATGTGTAACAGTGCTTTCACAGTGAAAAATAATTCAGATTTTCTTCATGGACCAAGCAAAGTACGATAACTTTAAAATGATGGAAAATGCACAAATTCATGCAAAATCCACCATTTTGTTAGCATTCATATCAAACCATAAGTATTAACTTTATTAGGATAAAGAAGCAGGCTTCTTTTCAGCTCCTCACCTAATGAATAGGCATGGTTTTTAAAAGTCAGTTGAGTACATGTGCACCCTCGTGGATAGCAGCGCAATTCATCCTAGCCAGCTCTTGGGAGCAACACAGATGCCCATCACCGGACAAAAGGATGAAAAGATGTGGTATTTTATGCAATGCAGCATTACTCAGCCAAAAAGAAAGGCAAACGAGGGCGGGATATAGCTCAGTAGAATAAGCTTTTGCCTGGCAAGCCTGAGTTCAATCCCTGGTACTACAAAAAAAAAAAAAAAAAGAAAAGAAAAGAAAAGAAAAAGAAAAAAAGATAAACTTGAGGTCTTTATAGATAAATGGATGCAACTAGAGGCTATGCTCATAAGCAAAATAAATCAGACCCATATGTATAAACATTGTATTGTCTCCCTAGTATAAAAATCTTAACGAATAAATAAATCTGAAACGTACAATAGATACAGTACAATGGAAAGAAACTGAATATAAGGAATATATAATTGAGATGAGGAAAAGGAGAAAAGATAGAAAAAAGGGGAAAAATCATGTAAGTATATACACAGGATAGCTAAGATGATTCTGCTACTAATTTCTTTTTCTTTCTTTCTTTCTTTCTTTCTCTCTTTCTTTCCTTTTTTTTTTTT